ATATAATTATATTTGAATAAGTAATAATTCAATAACTACAAATCAAGCTATGTTGTATTATCGTATTTACTATATATATATTGCTACATATATTTAGGTAAGCAGCGGCTTTTAAAAAAAAAAGTTCGAATGGATACGCACGGATATTAAAAATAATACCACGGCGTTTACGTGTGTGAAATTTATATTGACGCGATCCGTCGTGGTCGACCGTTCAAGAAATAATAATCGGCGCTCCCGAAACGGCCAGACGCGCTGAATGAGCAGTGCCACAGACTATGAGTAGTGGGCGTGACTTCAACGCCGCGCGCTTGCGGATCGCCAAAACACTTAACAGCGCGTTCTCTCGGCTGTTGTATACGTTTCGCTTTACGTGTAGCGTCCTCTTAAGAGTTTATAATGCCTGGTGGTAGTACGTGCCAATATTTTAACTGCGGTAAATCCTCCAGTAAATTTCCTAATTTAAAATTTTACCGTTTTCCAAAAGATAGTAGATTAGAAACGTGGAAAATTAATTCCGGTATATTTTAAGTAAATATTATTTATGCAAGTTTTATGAACATTTTTTAATTTAATATAATTTTAAATTTAGGAAACATAAAATTATTTTCGATTGACGATGAAAAGTGTTATAATCGGTATTTATGCCAGGAGCACTTTTCACCAGATTCATTTATGAACCAGGTTTCAAAAAAATTAATAAAATCAGCTATTCCTTATAAATATAATGACATTATTGACCAACCAACATCGAGTGGTGAGTACTATTTTCTTATTTTGTTGCAATTAAATAACAAACAACAAATTTATTAGGGTGGGCTCAAACCTCAAATGCATATTTTTTCAATTAAATAACTTTATTCTACTCAGATTATTGAGATGGCTTCTAGAAGTTTTTTTTTTTTTGGGGGGGGGGGCTAAGCTGTTTCGGGTGAAAATTCCGAAACTATCTGCTGATGGGAGGTGCTCATTTTTCAAACAGCCAAAATTAAATGTTTTTAAAACATAATTTTTGGTTTAACTATTTTCGGAAATAAATGCTCGTGATTATTACCTAATCATAAATATACTTTGTAAAATATCACTCTCATTTTAACACTATTTTGGAGTAAAAACAACAACAAAATGAGTTCTAAATAAATTTAGTTCATGTTGTAAAATAACAATCTATATTTTATTTTATTTTAATTGTAGGAAGTAGTTTGAGTGCTGGACTGGTTGTTTCCGAACTTTTGCCTACAACTCCCATTAGATTTGAAGAACCTAAAAAAGATTACACAAAAGTCAGAAATACAGAGTGTGTTGAGCTAGTATTTCCTAGTCCTTCAAAATATACTACAACCGATATATCCAATATAATTGATATGCCTAGTCCCATTACCCCAAAGAGAAAACAAAATTATAATATTATAAACGATGATACTCCTAGGAAAAAAAAATTAAAACAAAAAATATTTACTCAACAACATCAAATGCAAAATAAAAAAAAACACATTTCCAAATTGAAAAACAGAATTAATAATTTAAAAAACCGTAACCATTTAAATAATTTGATTTCCTCACATAAATTTCGGTCCAATAATTCAAGAGCTATTGTTACTATGCAGTTACGAAATAAACGTCGCCAATGGACCACCGAAGAAAAAAATGTAGCATTAACAATGTTTTATAAATCACCAGCAACATATAATTTTTTAAGATTACAAAACCTTAACCTACCAGGTCCGTCGACAGTCCGAGGTTGGATTGGTCAATCCAAATTTTTACCAGGTTTTAATAAAATATTTATGACCCATTTGAAAAAAAAATTTGAGTTTAAGGAGTACAAAGAAAAGGCTTGTAGTATTTCCTTTGATGAAATTTCAATAAAAGAATTTTTAGAATATTCTAAAGATTTCGATTTTATAGAAGGTTACGAAGATCTGGGTAGATTCGGAAGGACATGTAACACTGCGAATAGCTGTTTAGTCTTCATGGCAAGAGGTATATATTCACCCTGGAAAATCCCAATTACTTATTTTCTTGCTCATTCTGCCGTTAAACATGCAGTTCTAAAAAACCTTATCATCGATGTATTGCAACAACTTTTTGATATTGGTATTTTACCCAAAGTTATTATTTGTGATCAAGGGTCGAATAACCAAAGTGCCCTGAAGTCGTTAAATGTCACGGAAAATAAGCCTTATTTTTATGTAAATGAAAATAAAATTATTTCTTTATTTGATACACCTCATCTCCTGAAAAGTGTAAGAAATAATTTAATAGGAAACACATTTAAAAAAAATGAAAAAATAATATCTTTTAACGATGTCATAGCAACTTATAACATTGATAAAAAAATAAAAAAGTAACGCTCTACTTAAAATAACAGAGGCTCATATACATCCAAATTCATTTCAGAAAATGAACGTTAAATTGGCTACTCAAATTTTTAGCCACTCAATGGCATCTGCTTTACGAACATGTATATCTACAGCCGAATTAAAAAGTAAAACTGAACAATCTATTTGACTGTCTAAACAGTAGAAATTTATTCAGTGACAATCCATATAATTGTGCATTAACCAATTCAGGTGTAGTTAAACAATTTCTAGAAAATTCAAAAAATTATTTCAATGACCTTTACAAAATTAATATGAAAGGCAAAATAACTCGGCCACCGTGCTTTAGCGGATTCACTCAAACTATAAACGGAGTGTTGAGTTTTTTTGACGATGAATCGAAAAATAATAATAAACAGTTTCTATTTACAAATAGATTAAATCAAGATAAACTAGAAAACCTTTTTTCAATTTTCCGACAAAAAGGCGGATATAATAAAAATCCTACGGCGAGAACTATCAGAACTTCATTTAGAAGTACATGCGTGTTTTCCTTAATCACTTCAAAAGGTACCAACTGTGAAAGTAGTCAAAATATAGACAATCCTGCCCTAGTGCAAGATGTTATTACACCTGACAAAACTATTAATGAAGGGTCAGAATCGTGTTCGGACACAGCATCCTCGTCTTCGTCTTCTTCGCCCACAAAAATAAAATTAGAAAAATGTAACACGAAAAAAATAAATGAATCTATTACGTTAGAAGATTGTTCTGTGACATATTTTTCGGGATACCTACCTTATAAATGTATTAAAAAATTTAATTGCATCGAATGTAAGATAAATCTAATAGGTAGTAGAAAAAAGTTTGAGTGATAAGAATCAAATACTGTTAATTCATAAAAATTATTCTGATATCGAAAAACATACAGGACTCATGGCGCCGTCGGATCAATTAAATCACGTAATAGATCGTACTTTGTCAATATTTGAAACAACATTTCAGAAACTTCAACACAAGAAAAAATTAAGATCTACTTTATTGACAGTTTTAAAAAAGGATGAATTAATATCAAACTGGATCGATGAAAAAAATAATAAGTGCGCCGATCATTACGTTTTTATCTTAGAAAAATTATTAATATGTAAAATTTTTAGGACTTCAAAAACATTTTCAACTACATCTCAACAAATTAAATTAGCAAAATTAAAAATTCTGAGTCATATTTAGATATTAAGTGTATACCTATGTAAATGTGACGTGTAAATGTGTAATTATTTTACTAAACTTTAATTGTATAACTCCTGGATCTTTCATAATTATTGTAATTATTTTTTTATTTTTATTATTGTAATTATTTATTATTTTTATTAGTTTTAAATTTATTATAAATTAATTATTTACGATTGTAACATACAATTAAAAATAAAAATGAATTATCATGAAATAAACAGTTTAACAATAACAATTAATCGTTATTTTATTATCTTCCTTTTTTAAACAATATAAGATTATACCTATGTGAGTCTGTGACCGTGTTTTTAAAGGAAACAAAGTAATAACGGTGTAGAATAATTGATTTTAGATTACCACGTTTATATGCAGCAGTTAATGCGCATTGATTTAATGCGCATTGAGTTAATCCGGGAGTTGGGTGCATATAAACGCATTTTAATTCGCATCTGAACTAATGCGCATTATTAGTTAATTCGATTCGTCAAATCGAATTAACTCTTACTCCGGATTAGAAATGCATGTAAACGCTTTAATGCGAATTAATTTTTTCGCGGGAATTTCAAAATGTAAAATTATAAAATAATTTAGGTACCAATATACAGTGCCCCAATTACAAATTTGAGGCCCCGGTTCATAAATATTTTAGATGCCCTTTTAGTTTTTACTGTAGCATTGGCGCAAATAGGGGGGGGGCCTTAGAGCCACAAATGTACTATTAGCCCCCCCCCAAAAAAAAAATATAAAGTTATTTTGGTATGTGGGAACTTTTGCTCACATTGATGTATACAATGTTAACTCCCCTGAAATTTTAATGAATACTCATGTATACTGTAGTCACTAGTCAGTGGCAGACAGGATACAGGAATTTTAAAGTTCATGTATATAACAAAAGTGTCATACCCACTTGTAATTTTTCTTTGGTATTTGCAACTTATGTAATAAATAAATGTCTAACTCACTGGACTATAATATTCAAATAAATATGATTGTAAAATCAATACATTCATCGTTCCACTCAGTATCTAAAATACATTAAATTTGTGTTAATGTAAGCGTACAGTTGAATCTATTAATAAATATTTAATTTTTAATTTATACCTATACTCTGGTATTTTATTGCTAAGTATTGAACATTTAAAACAAAGTTCCACGTAAGTAGTTAATTCTGATACCAAAAATCTACAAAATCCGGTTCAAAACCCTAGAAGAAAAACTAATGAATTTTTTGTAAATGAAGTGCCTACTTATATATTTATTATAGTATATTAGTATATTAGTATAATAGTATATTATTCATAGTTCAAAAATTTCAAAAATATTTTAAAAAAGGTATTTAGATTTCAAATAATTAAATAGGTACATCAATACTTGTGTGATTTAGGTTCCATTTACTTGAGCTATTCATTAAGTATTTAGTTTAAAATAATATTTAACCTATAGGTGATGGGAATGATTGATGGAACACATATTCCTATTATGGCACCAGCAGATGGCAGATTAGATTATGTTAATCGTAAAGGGTGGACATCAATTATTTTACAAGCCGTTGTAGACCATGAATATCAGTTAATAATTAATAGATATTTTAATGTGATTATATTTTAATTGGTGCATATTTTGATAATTTGATTTATAGAATTAGAGATATATGCTGCAAACATCCAGGGAGTTGCCATGATGCTTTTGTTTTAAAAGATTCAAACTTATTTAAAAACGCGGATATGCTCATCCCTACTCAAATGCGTAAAATACAAGAAATTGATGTACCATTAATGATATTAGGCGATCCTGCATATCCTCTACTACCCTGGATTATGAAAGGTAAAAAGATCAAATATAAAAATTTTTGAGATAAATATAGTATTTTGGAAATATCTTTGTTTTATGTTATTTCTAATACAATTAAATATAATATTATGAGCTAATAATGGATGGGTTTTCTCATTTTGTTTGAACTATTTTCATCAGAATGATAATTACTTTACAGACCCAAATAAAAAATTCCTGGGTACACCCTTGCTGGGCATATTTTATCTTATTTATAATATATTTTTACTAAACTGAATAATATTTTATGTTTTTGTTTATGTTAGGATACACTGGTAAATTAACCAATGAACAAGATAGTTTCAATACTTATCTAAGTTCAGCTAGAATGGCTGTAGAAAATACATTTGGTCGAATGAAAGGACATTGGCGTTGTCTTCAGAAAAGAATAGATATACATTACTCATTTGTACCCAAAGTGGTTTCAGCTTGTGCAATTTTACATAACATTGTTGAGAGAAAACATGAAGACTTTAATTCATCTTGGTTGAGAAGTGTGAATGCAACAAATGCTATGTTTCCACAACCTAACAGTAGGCTATTGACATATAGGAATGAAAATGTTAACTCAATGTACATTATAAGAGAACATTTAAAAAATTATATGGCTGATACTTATGCATTAAGATCATCTTGTATTCACAATTTATAAATTAATAAAAATTATTGTTTTTTATTTAAATGTTATAACATTTGTGTTTTATTTAGCTTCAAAACATCTTCATTAATACATAGGTAACTTTCCTCCGTAATAAATTAAAAACAAAAAATATATTAAATCTTCTTTGTGAAAAAAAAAAATAATGATAATAATAACAATGCCTTGAACAGCCCGGTATGTGTCCATATCTACCTAAAATCATTAATATGATCATCTAATATTAATTTATACATTTCTAATTTCTAATTTAGTATTAAGTAACAATTAGTGTTTATTATGTATTTAATGCTTAGCATAAACACATATTATAAATAACAACAAAGCAAATTAAAAGTACACAGGTAACTTTCCTTGTAATGAATAAATAACAATTAATATAAAAGCCTTTTTATGAAAAAAAAAAAAATAATAATAACAATGGCCTGAATAGCCTTCATAACTTATACATTAATACTTAAAACTTAATACTAAAAATTCTATAAGTGTATATAAACTAATATAATATGTTATGTATTACTCAATCTTAAAATAATATTGTAGTGGTTAGAATACGATAGTTTATTGTTGTGTATTTGAGGGGGGATAATCAGAAGTTGGATAATATGGGTACTGGATTGGATATTGAGATTGATTGGCAAGAACTGCCATCAAGTTGTTCATAATGTTTTCGTTTGAAATCCTATCAGCTACTGCTCTTGCCTCTTCTTTTTCTAAGACTTCTTCTTCCCATTTTTTTTGTTTTGAAAAAAATGTATCCATTAGTTGATCTTGTTTAACAAAAAAGTTATTTTGCAGTTGTTTGGCCTCTTCAGCAATGTCTTTTGAAAATGCTTTCAATGATTTTTTGTAAGGAGCAGTTCTTGGTGGTCTCATACTGACTTTGGGCATTTTACCAGTCATCTCTGGGGTTAAGGCATCATCCGCAGTATTATTAGTATCCGGCATTGCAAAAATTGACTGATCTTCCTCAATTAAAGGGTCTTCGATAACATTTTGAGTGGAAGTTTCAAGAACTGAATCGTTGTTTAAGTCTAAGATTGAATCAACTCCATTAGCCATCGGTTGAGATATGGCTCTGTGACCGATTAGATCACTGAGGCGATCATACCATTTATGAGTGACTTTGTTGTGCCCACTGGTATTATTTTTTACCTGCATTTCCTTGAACATTTTTTTCAAAGATTTCCATTTAATCCTTACCTAAAAAGTATATAAAATGTGTAATAAAATAACATGTTGCAGAATGATATATAATATATTTAAGACAGTGGGTCAAATGGAATGAGTATTTGGTAGTCATTGACTAAAAGTACCAAGCTTATCACTAAAATTGTGTACTTACTTCACTGACAGTGTATTCACTTATAAGTTGCTTATTTAATTCATTAGCAACCATCTTAAAAATATCTTCATTCCGATATTGTGATCCGTCCAAATGCTCCATGATTTTTTTTTCTCCAAAAATATTTATCATCGTATTGACAGCAGTGTTCGACCAAATGACTCGTTTTTTTCTCGTACTTATCATCGTGATGAAAATTAAGTAATTGTGTTACTAAATTACAAAATCTTCAAAAAAATAGGAACAAGTCACAAATTTTGAAATAACAGAAATTTAAGTTATTAATATTGAAAGATAGCTGATAGCACTGTGATAAAAAGTATGATAATTGTTTTGGTCATGGAATACAAAGTATAAAACATGGACTAAAAAACAATCGCATTAACTTAAATTTAATTCGACATCTAATCTTGATATTTTTGGTGCATATAAACCCGCGCCCTAATGCGCATTAAATCAATGCGCATTAACTGCTGCATATAAACGTGGATAAGGCCTCATCAAATATAACTTAAGAGGAAAAGCTTCATCCGCGACAAAATAGTATGGAAACATTTGTATACCACCTTGGTCGTTATGCCTGTTGGTATATCAAGACCATTTATATCCAACCATCGGCCTAAACGACAAGCTCTAAACACTCCACCGTCACTATTTCTCCCTGCCTGACCAACATCAATTGTTGTAAATATACCATCTGCATCACAACTCGCCATAAGTACCAGTCAGTGGTACGATTTATAGTTAAAATTCGATGAACCAGATTTCGGAATCTTTTGTATTCTAATGTGCTTCAAATCTATAGCACCTATCGATAATTAAACAAAAAAATTTTATTTTTAGTCTTAATATACTTTTACATGCTTATTTGTATACATATTTAAATAGTTTGTGGCAGGGCTTGCATTTGAAAAAAAAATATTGTTTTAAGTTATTTACAATCAAAACGTTATACAAATTTTGAGTTTATCGTTATTCAAAATTTAAACGTTATTCAACTTTTGTGTTTATCGTTATTCAGAATTAAAACGTTATACAATTTTTGCGTTTAACGTTATTCATAATTAAAACGTTATACAATTTTTGCGTTTATCGTTATTTAAAATTTAAAAGCATTTAGATACCGTAGAATGGGGTAACTTTGATAATATGATATTTTTATTCACCATAGTACCACGACAATTTAATATTTTTTTCATAAAATGGGGTAACTTTGATAACACATTCCGAAATGTAGGTATCAAAGTTTCCCACAACGTGAAAAACATTGATAGCATTTTAAAAAGATTAATATCTCAGAAGATAACATCAGAAATTTAAAAATTAAAATTTTAAACAATTGAGGATAATTAGCTATAACTATGATTTAATTTTTGTAATTTTATTGTTAATACTACAGAAGTTATCCATAAAATAAAAAGTAAAATTATAATAAAACAGTACAAAATTATCAAAGTTACCCCATTTTACGGTACCTGTTTTAAAAGTACACAGGCAGCAATTTAAAAGTATATGACTATGACCTTTTTTTGGGGACATAATTTGATTAATTTCCCTATTCTGAGTTTTAAGTAGGTATTGTGTAATTTTATTTATTTAATTAAATGGGTTAGATAACCCAATTACATATTATTTACAAAATATAGAGTACAGTGATACAGATTAAATTACAATATACATAGTTCGTAAAGAAATGGAGACAAAATAAATGATAAAACAGTATGATGATAATTAATCTTAAGTTATAAATAATAATGTATTATTGAATTTAATAAATTGCCTAGGCTCTAAGGACTTTATTATAAAATAATAAATATAAAAAAAAAAAATCATGATCATTATTTTGAAATTTTGAATGTATTATTAGGTTTTTAAATGTTAAAATTATTTAGTAAGTTTTACAATATTGTGCTTGAGAATATCATTTAAGCAGGAATCTATGTTTCAAACATATTTTACTCTGATTGTTTTGACATACTTTGTTAACATTTATTTTATACCTTCCTACAATTGACAAAAAATTAGAATCTATAATTTATGTTGTTAAAAGTTAAATAATATGTACTTATTGGCAATATAAGTGTGTACATAGCTAATTTATACTATCTAAATTATACTTATTACCATATTACCATTATTAAATAGAACATTCACAAACAACAAAATAAATTCCAATGTCTAATATCAATGTGTAATATATTCATGAATACATTTAAAAACAAAATAATTTATACATTTTAAATGTTATTGATTGTTTCCTCTGATAATTAATATGTCTTCTAATATATCACTTGAAATTGAACTTCTCAAATCTGACAATATAAATTTTAAGGCAGAAAAGCTACGTTCAACACTAACCTAAAAAACAAAAAATATATAAGTCAAAAATATATAATTATAATTATAAATAACTAATGCTAAAAGTTGTATTTAGTGTTCTAACTTCTAAGATAAATAAATTATCTTATTTACAAAATTAATAAAACTTTTATAATAGCTTAGCTTAGTGTAACGCGGTAGGTTATGGATTTTATAAAAAAATACTAATTCTTAATAATATTGTCAATAAAGTTAATAAGCATACTTGTGTTGCTGGTACTGCCATGAGTATTTGTGCCAGTTCGAATAACTCTGGCTTTGCTATTTTGTTGTCTTTCCAATAATTTATCACATCTGCTTTGTAAGTTAATCTTTCTACTCTACCAAAGTCTTCAATTTTTTCTCTCATTAACTGTTTTGAAGATAACAAACTTTGAGACTCATTCGATTCATTCAATGATCGGTTTTGTGAAGATGTGTGTGAACAACCAGCAAGGAATTCTTCAAATGGATCTTCGTTATCACAGATTTGCTCATCAATATCAATAACACTTTCATCAGTTGATCCAGCTAAATTCTCGTTTAGATTTTGATTCTAAAAATAAAAGGATTTTTAAGATTAAATGGTGCACGAGGGCTTAAATCTAACGGTTAGATTTTGGAGCATATGAATCTGCCCTCCAATTATAAAACTTGAATATTTACTAACACCAGATATTGATTCTTTTAAAGTCCAAGTTTTAATAAGATGATCAATTGCTATTTGTTTTTTTGCAGCTGTTAAAGTACACATAAATCGAGGGTCTAAATAAATAGCTGTAAATAAAGTTAAATATTTAAAATAAAATTATAACTTAAGTCCTAATTTAATCATGGTAGGTTATGTAGAATCATGTCACCTGCAACAAATATACTATTGTCCATTAATTGTTCTTCACGACTATTCATTGACTGCACAATAGAATTAGATAACAAAGCATTTATTTGTTGAAATTTACTTTTTGTTTGTTGCCATATAAAAAAAAATCACCCAGTGTCAAATCCTTTTTTTGAAGTCTTTTAGTGGCAAAATAAGCAGGCTCAAGTGAATTTACCTTCATAGTTTAAATTAAGTACATTATAAGGTATATTTTTATTATATTTATTACTAATATTATGATTTACCAAACTACTAATCTTGTCCCAATCACGATTACTTAAAAACAAATTAGAGTTTATTAACTCGCAGTCCTTACAAAATGACTTAAGTTCATACAGACGATGCAACATTGAATATGTAGAACTCCATCGAGTAACAATATCAATTATAGCTTGCTTTAAATTATCCTTC